TTCACCACTCCTCCATGTTACCTCTCATTCACCACTCCTCCATGTTACCTCTCATTCACCACTCCTCCATGTTACCTTTCATTCGCCACTCATTTCTGTGTCACTACCCATCAGTTGCACAACCATCTATCTACTAATGCCCACCTATACATTGATTACCGATCTGCATAGACCGCGCATCCACAGATGAACACACACTCATCCACAGTTAATTACCTATCCATGCACACCCACCCCATATACTTGCACAATCACCTATTCACACGTGACCACTCATCCACACATGACCACCTGTACACGCGCAGCCGACTATCCACGTATGCTCATTTACACATGCGTGACCACCCCGTACCCCACCCAGCCACCGCACACCTCTCCCTCCGCTCACGCACCACCTCTCCTACACTTATCAGCACGCAGATATACATGCACCACCACCCACCCGCGTCCGACCACCTACACCTGCATGGCCATCCATCCATGCCCGACCACATTCGACCATCCATCCACACACTACTACTGAAACACGCGCGCGCTACCTCTAATCAAAGCACTGATCCGTGGGTACTTTTGATGTGCATACATGCGCCCTATATTAGCGCTACACGGCTCGCCTACCCTAAGAGGACTAGACTGGGGAGCGAACTCGAGCAAGCATGCTGTAGGGCCGCATCTGTCGTCGCCTGTCCAAACATGTGATCACTTATGCCACTGTCTTTGCGCATCTGCTTTTTCTCCAATGTCCACGCGGCAACCTTGACCAACCCGCCTTCAGTTTGCTCCCGCCTACTTTTAGATTCGGAGAAGGATCGGGCTTCACTCGAAAACGTGCCGTCGAACTTTTACGAGTCTTCCGTGTGCGGACCGGAGTTCAACGAGTTCTTCCAGGAGGGGTATCAGCAACAGCAGCAGCAGCAGCAACAACAACAACAGCAGCAGCAACAGCAACAGCAGCAGCAGCAGCAGCAGGAGCACAATAAGATCCACAATATTACGTCTATGCCGAGCCACCAGCCGTTCGTTCACGAAAGTGAGTAGTCGTCTTCACTAGCTAGTCTTGTCTTGTCACTTGTGTAGCTGACATGTTTGATACAGATTGAAAAGGAATTGAGCTGCAAGTTAGAAGACAAATGCATTAGTAGAAAAACTAATCTGTTAGGGTTTGATCAGAAAGAACGGATCGTCAATAATCTGTTATTGATTTTCATTTGTCTATGATTCTTTGCGATAGATATATATTCCTTTTAGAAGAAATATGCAAGTACGAGACATTATTGTAACATGGACATGGACATTCATCATTTCTACATGAACTCGCATCCCTGTTTACATTATTGTTGATCAGTATAACTTTGAATGTATTGTGGTGGTGACTATACATACGATTGTGTGTCCTACATGCACGTTTTTTTTGCTTCTAGGTCACACATATCAGTTATCGGACAGCATGCACACGCTGAACGATATCAATTCGGAGGAGGCGTTGATCATGCCTGGATACGATGACTCCAGCGAGTATCACGGTCTGGAGGGTCCGCCGCCGACCAACGGTTACCTGGAGGGAAGTCCGAATGAGTTCTACAGTAGGCACACACCACTGTTGCAACAGGAGCAGAAATATAGACCAACCTACCAGCGACATCATCAAAATATGTACAGAGGTGAGAAGGCATAGCATTCCTCCCGAAATGTTTCTGTGTAGTCTGTCACTACTTCTGCAACTGTCTTTTCAGTGGTAGTAAGACCAGACACTTAATACTAAGTTCAAGGGCGTAGCCAGGAATTTGGATTGGGGGGGGGTCCTCGAGCGAGTAACAAATTTTTTTTCCGAGTTAAATGTAAAAATAGTGCTTCAAAATCAATTTAGATGCTGTTTTGTTCAATACTATTTCTTCTGCAGCTCTTTTTTTTGAATTTTTGAATTTTTGAATTTAAAAAAAAATTCTTTTTCGATTTTGATTTTGATTGGGGTGGTCCTAGGGCCCCAGGACCCCCCCCCTGGCTACGCGCTTGACTAAGTTAGACCGATTGAAATACTACGATGGCTCGGAGTGACTTTCTTCTAACGTTATATCGGTGTGGATTTCTTTTTTCGTAAAATGGACTAATGTTGTGTGTTGTGTGAACGTGTGAACGTGTGAACGTGATGGGATTTTGTGACCGGTTGCTGACTCAGCATAATCTGTCTAAAAATCTGTCCTGGTTCAGGTGGCGATGTTTCGAGCATTCTGCAAACGATTGCACTTGACAAATGATAACGATCAAATGACAGTTTTTTTGTTAGCTGTAAATATGCTTGCCAAAAGATAAAAAAGTTTAAATGTTTTTGCCAAAGTTTAAAATTAGCAATTTTGACGTACTCGTGTATACCAATTTCTGTTTTCGTAGTGAATTTTTGCACGATAAGTTATCCCACGATAGAGTGTCTGTATGAGTGAGAAGCTGGAGAAACATACCCAATGACCTACTCATTCAGCAAATAATTTTTAACGAAATTTTGTGTTGCTTCGACCATCTGCAATCAATGATTGCTGCGGCAAAGCCGTTTTTCAAACCTAGTCTGTTGAGTTGTCTGTCAAAGCTAATCAATCGTCTGTCGAAACTAGTCTGTCTTGTCCCCTCGTCTCACTCTTTCCTCTCGCTCGGCACATCTCACGACACTCGCACTCAATCTAGCGATCGCACGACCTTCACAACTCAGCGAAAGACAATTTTGTTAATAATTATAATATTCCTAATAATAATCAACTTATACTTACCTGATAACTAGACTAATTAACTTAATAATAACTTAATAATATTAATTATTAAGTTATTATGAATTTATATTAATATTAATTTCGTGATTTGATTCGTTCTGTCAGGGCCCTGCGAAGCGCCGCACATGATGGAACACCAGGGCCGCTTCCAGGGCATCTACGAGCCGCCATTCCAGACGGTTCCGTCATCGATGAGTGAGGGATGGCCGACGGCGGACGGCATGGTCGGCATGGCGACGCAGCAGACGGGCGGATACGCACCGCTGCGAGACATGCTGCAGCACGGCGGCGGCAGCGGCGCCGGTGGAGAGTCGAAGCCGGTCATACAGGCGGCAGCCCTCGCCGGATACTCAGGTAGAGACGGTGGCGATTTCTTGCGTCGTCGTTGCCGCGGCGGCGGAATCGTGAAGGTGATGCTTGCGCTGTCGCCTTGCGCACTTTTTGAATGTTCGTCTCTTAGGTAGAGACGGTGACGATTTCTTGCGTCGCCGTGGCGGAGGCGAATCGTGAAGGGGCGGTTGCACGGCGCCTTCTTTAAATGTTTCGTGGGCTCTACCCATCTATCTTTCTGACTGAATGTTTTGTGGCTCTATCTATCGCGTTCGCAGTTCCGTGCCAAAAAATGTGCCTAAAAAACTATGGGCGTGTGTTATGAATGTGATAAAATATACTGATATGATATGATGTGACGCGATGAGATGTGACGTGACACGACCCAATATATATCCCGACCCAATGTGATATTATATATATTTTTTATATACATATATATTATAGTATTAAGTATCGATCAATTGTAATAGATTTTGCCTAGCTGTGAACATTAGTAAATGGTGTAACGTTACCTAGAGCGAGACAAGCGACAGAGAGACATTTCGTTTATCTAAACGTCATCGAAAAGTTCATTTAACTAAACGTCGTCGAAACGTTCATTTAACTAAACGTCATCAAAATGTTCGTTTAACTAAACGTCATCAAAACGTTCGTTTAACTAAACGTCGTCGAAACGTCATCGAAAAGTTTGTTTAACTAAATGTCATCGAAAAGTTTATTTAACTAAACATCATCGAAACGTTTGTCGAAACGTTCGATCTAATCGTTAATCGTTCGATCTAAACGTCATCGTAACGTAACATCGTGCATCGCGTCGTAGTTACGCTCACTGAACTAGCTGAAGGGCAGCTTTTCAATATTTGACGTAGTCGTTGCCTCTCTGATGCCCTCAGGCAGTGGACCAATACAGCTGTGGCAGTTTCTGCTGGAGCTGCTCACGGATAAGAGCTGCCAGCACTTCATCGCGTGGACGGGCGACGGCTGGGAGTTCAAGTTGTCCGACCCGGACGAGGTGGCACGGCGCTGGGGAATCCGCAAGAACAAGCCAAAAATGAACTACGAGAAGCTGTCGCGGGGGTTGAGGTACGGCGTAACTCGTGTCTGCTGCTAGATTTTGTCGGTCCTGTTTCCGTTACTAGACGGTTCGTTGAAGGGCGTTTGGGTCGGTGTGTATTCGCACAAAAAAGGTGCAAATAAAAGCCAAAAATTAGCTACGAGAAGCTGTTGCGGGGTTGAGGTACGGCGTAACTCGTGTCTGCTGCTAGATTTTGTCGTCTGTTTGTGTCGAGGTGCAAAAACATTTAAAATAAACTCGACCTGGTTTATGATTGTACAGGCCCCTGAAAATATATTTTCTATACGTGACATTGATGTAGTCACTACTGATACAGAGGCAGTGGTCGCGTGTTGTTGGATTTTGAGTAGATCCGATCGGCATTTTTATAACCTTTGCAAGTTTATTCTCGATGACATGCCCGACAGATGTTTTTTTTTTAAATCCTGCAACTTGCGAGAAGGACTGATAAAAGTTCACGTGTTTTGCCTCGATCTAAGCGTCGATATCTTGCAGGACGATAACAATTTGTTAGTTGTCTTATCCGATCGGACCGGATGCGGTTTTTTTTCTGCGCAACGGGCACTGAATAAACCACTGTAGATATTTCAATATCATTCAATATTGTTATATATTATTCAATATATATATATATATAAATCAATTTGTTACTCCGATGTTGCAGGTACTATTATGACAAGAACATCATCCACAAGACTGCGGGTAAGCGCTACGTGTACAGATTCGTCTGTGACCTGCAGAGCTTGCTAGGATTCACGCCAGAGGAGCTGCATCGCCTCGTCGACGTCAAACCAGAGCCGAAGGAAGCCGAGTGAACATGTGCATGCGGTGCGTGCGGTTCACGCGGTATGTTCTTTGCGAGGGACGCCGAGTGAACGTGTGCGTGTAGTGGCATGTTCCTTGCTCAGTGGGAGGGACGCTGGACCGTTCGTTCGATTGTTCGAGAGCGCTCGTGCGGACGGGATGTACATACGCTGCGTCGTCGGAACGCCGACGTCGGGACGTGAGGGGACGTTATCGCGGACGTCGCATTGAGCCCGCAGACGCATCGAACGCCGAAAAACAGTGTGAGCGTCGCTCGCTCGATCGCGGCGCGGAGTCGGGAGCCGGACACTTCTCTTGCGTCGAAGTTTTGCGAAGGACGGAGACGGACGCTGGCGTCGCACGCGCAGCGGTACGACCGAAGCTTGCTGGACAAATGTGTGCGAGCGGGCCGGCGCGGCGAGTGGAATCGTCGTCGCCAGAGGGGAGCACCTGGCATGCTGCTGCCTCCGAAGATCGCTTTACCGGCTCTGTCGTGCACCAGGCGTGCGCGGTTACCGTCGTGGTGCACATCTCGAGGGAGAAGGATGCGCGTGAGTGGCACAAGAATGACCACGAATATAAGCAGGAGGCTGCGAAAGATTTAAAAAAAAACTGTGAAAGCGCCAGTTTGTCGAGGAAAATTGGTCTATTTTCTTTTTTTGTTCACGCTGAGACTGGTCTGTGATACATGCTACTGTTTCTCAGTGTTGTCTGTGCCACTGTTGCGACTGGAACTTGGGGGGCGGGAGTCGTGTGTGGGGGGCGGGAGTCGTGTGTGGTGGGTGGGAGTTGAGTGTGGTGGGTGGGAGTTGAGTGTGGGGGGAGGGGTGCTGTCTTGGGCAGCCGTTTGTGCACAAGATGTGTAACAAAATCGTGTATTGAGAACGGCCATAAACCAAAGTTGGCTCTTGTCTGAACTAATGTTTTTGCAGTTCAAGGGTTCCCACCGTTTCTGGATCTCGGAAGAATTCCAGAAATTTCTAAGTGTTAACCAACTGTGTATATTTCTCATTATAATGAATCCTATCATTAAGCAGAATTTATATGTAAAGTTAATATTTTAGCTATTCATGTGCCAGTATAATATTATCTTAAACTAAAATTTGTTCAATAGATGTGAAACCCCATCTATTGGCATAAATAAAAATGACGGAAGGCAGCCATGAACCTCTACTGTAATAATAACATAAAATACTGTAGAAAATTGTTTCTTTTTAATCAGAACACTTTCATTTTTAAATGGCTTGATGCTTTCTATGTAAAGTGAACTGTTGTAATGTTAACTAATACCTTAACACCTATGTGCTAGATTGAGTATTTTTGGCTATTATGTATAATCAGAGAATCCTGAACCTTTTGATCAGTTAAAGGATTTTTCTGCTTTACATTTTCATATAACTGATCTGAAAGTAAAGGGCCTAATTATTTTTTTCTCACCATCTGAGATAGTGAGGTGCTTTTACATGGCTTGGAGGGAACCCTATAATTGCTATACTAGAGGCCACAATTATGTCATGTTATTATAGGTTATACCTTTATGTACAGGTAGTAAAAATGTTTATTTTGTAAAATAGAATTACCTTAGAGAGCAGATATTTTTCGTATAACCTTGTGCTGATATAAAACGTGGGGTGCGCCATGTTGTCATGTTATAATATTACTAGAGTGCTAACAAGTAGTTTGTGCACTCCAGTATGGTGTCTTTGTAGGTGTAACTCAATCGAAAATTGATATTGCATTGCCTGAAGGACGCATGAAAAGTAAAGGTTGTTCATTGCAATAAAAATGCATTATCTGTACCCTTAAAGCTGGGAGTGTCCCCATTACGAATCTTCGACAAGGAATCGCTTCCTATTCTTCTGTGCCCGCCCATTCATGCTCGAAATTAGTTGGCCCTGTTCAGCACTTTTCTGTTATGTTATTTGTTGGTTTTTGGTGGCTATTCTGGGTATTCTGCCCTAGAAAAAAAAGTTATTATTTATGAAGGTAAAGGTTACAGGGCCCCTCTGAAATGTAGCTCTGCATGCCAGTGTAGAGAACTGATTGAGTCTAGCAAGGAATCTAGAATCATCTATATCCATAAACGTCTCTGCTAATAACCTGGGGTGTTACTGTTAACAGATTATATTTTATACGGGAACGTAGTGTTTATACGCGTAAATATTCTGTATTGGCGGACTTTCTCAACGCTATGCGGACGTCACGACGTAAACACGTGTCAGTGATTATAGTATGTTAGTTCTGCCTTTCCCGATATGTCGCAATGTGAACGAAGGAAAGACGGTGGGCAAGTAATCTCAAATTCTGCACTCATTACAATGTCAGGCTGGGCTTAAGATATTATTATATTGATAAAGATTATTCGACATATTTTTCTCGATATCGTGAACATTACATAATGAAGTGGCTTTCAGTTCGTATTGAAATTTTATCTCGCGCTGATTTTTGAGTAAAATGTCAATATGAAATATTCTGTAACATAGTTCTTTGTCATTATACATATATATATACATATTGTTTATATCACAGCATTGTTGTCCTATAATACGGACGTCAGAAACGCATTTTGTGATGAAGTGAGGAGCTGTTACAAAATAAAATAAAATGTGTACTTTTATTTCAATATGACCTATATGTGCTCATTTTATTAATTTATTTATTTGTCGCACATTGAATATGTTACATCTAACATAACTGCAACCTTATTATGGCATAAATTATGTGTTTGACACAATCAAATATCAAACACACATGTGTTTGATATGTGTTTGACTATCTACAATACGTCTAAGCATTGCAAAACATCGCCATTGTTTAGAATTTCTTCTGCGCTTGATTATAATGGTGGTGCAACCATTTGCACAACAACGAGTCGATTCAGTGAGGGTACTGTATTGTAATAGAAATCGCTATTAATTACAGTCTTTTCTGATGTAACCCAAATCAAAGCTGCCAATTTACGTGTCCTATTGTGTGTATGTGTGTGCGTGCATGCGCGCGCGCGTGCGTGCGTGCGGGCGGGCGGCGTGTGCGCGTGCGGGTGCTTGTGTGCTTGCGCGCGTGCGGCTTTTTTTCATTGGTTGCGGGCATGATGAAAGCTAGTGTGTTTCTCTGCTGCAGTCGGTGATTTGGGGACTGCTTATTAGAGCACGCTTTCTGACAAAATTACCGGAAGCAAACGTTCTGTGTATACGACACAATTATATAGCCGTACCTATGCTTTCGTTCAGGCAGTAAATTTACATAGATGACATGCACCTGCAAATATAATAATTGGCATTCCCCTCCGCCGCCTCAGAGTCAAGTATATTCAGTGAAGAGAGGTTGAGAGAACACACCCTCGCTCTTTTATATCTCTGCATTAAATCAAGAGCTAATAATACCTTATTATTAGTAGTGTTATTAGCTCTTAATTAAATTTATCCCACAACGCGCAAAGCGTACCTCCTTTACTGCGCACTTATTATGCGTGTTTCACAGAGCAATACACGTTTTTGCGTCACCTGTAACACGGAACTGAAGAGATCATGGGGGTTCATGGCACTTCGTATAATTTTAATATAGGTCTGGCCATATATTAACAGACCGATGAAATATATTATTATTATACCTGATTAGTATAGGATATCGGTTGTTGGATTAGACCGAGACTCGTTTTGTGCGCCTATGGCACCGTGAAAAATACGAGTGATAGATTATAAGTGGCAATATACCGATTTTCGCTTATTTGTTTCCGAATGCAGTAATACTACATGTATAGCATTTAGTTCGATTTTTTTTATTTGAAGTACAGCGTAGAAGCGCTGGTAAACCGTAGCAATAAAATCAGGAGTTTATCAATATTGATAGACTCCTGATAAAATGTACTAAAATGTGATTACTTAGTGACACATTGTCGTTACTACAGTGTATAACCTAAGCAAAGCACTGTTTATCAGGGTAAACTGTGATACGATAGCTGTTCCTCGTCTTCGACATAGTACCCTTTACTCTGAAGACCAATCATGATGGGGTAATGAGGTAACTTACCGTTTAGCATATGATAGCGGCTATCGTATCTGAATAAGCCGAACAGACGATCTTGGATTTCGCAACGTGGATGACGTCACAACTGGCGCATGCGTAGATGATTCTGGTGACACGTGCGCGATAGTTACTGTATTTCGATGATGGCTCCTGTTTGTTTTGGTAAGTTAATTACTAGAGCATTCGTTCGCACGAACTTACACGGACTCACGGAGATGTATATAATGTCCCCTGCTTTTTCTCACACCTCGGTTCACTCTTGTATGACAATCGAACGCGCGTTTCACGCTCTCATTGTTTGTGGTTGCGCTCGCTCTGAGATGTAACTATGGTAACCGTAATGTTGTCGCTACCATAATAATAATTATGGTCGCTACGATCACTGGCATTGTCCATGGCAACAGTTATATGATTACCATGGGAAAATATGGTAGACTCTTTGGACGTAGGAGCTTTGTTAGTAAGCGCTCATGAGAGTGAGACTTAGCATTGGTTGGCTCACTGATAATGTTGGCAAGTAACAGGTTGAGTAAGTTTTTCTTTATGTTTATTCGCATGCAATTAGAATTTATTTACATTATTACAATTTGTATTAAAATTCGTCGCACGTGCTAAATTCTATGAGTAAATATTTCCCAACTCACTGCTGTGCCACGTACAAGTGTATTAATTTTGTACAAATCAATGCATATGCAAATCACGGCATCCTAAACCCGTTGAGTCTTCAGTGTTGCATCTCGAACCTGTTTGCGAAATGATGTGATTACATTTACAAATTCTCCAGCTGTTTCTCTTGGGGCTCATTAGGTGAAGTCATAAGGTGAGGTCATTAGGTGAAGTCATAAGGTATTCATCAGGATGGGTCCAAAAAGACAAGGAAAGAATGAAGCCAAGTCACCATCGCTTGATATGGTACATTTCACAGTTAGATGAAGAGAGTCAATAATGAATATCTACTCCATTATAGTCTGCATAGTGACTATACTGCATATACTATACTAGTAAACCCATTAAATTTTATGTAGGAAAGTGCAAAATTTTGTTTTGTATCCACTATAGGTATAATATTTACTATTGTACGATTTGATAATAAAAGCTTACATTTTTAGTTTGATCCTGTTATACTGGAAAGTAAAACAGCAGGAACGGCTGTGTTGATGCTAAAAAGTGATGAGCAAGATATTCTGGTCAAAGTCTGTTTTTCCCTGTACAAATATGCAGAGAAATGTAAGTCTTGAATCACATGTACTTTGCAATATATATTCTTTGTATTTATAATTTAACAGTGTCACTGTCCCCTTCAAATGCCCATTTTAATAGTTTTTCAAGTACCTAATTGGTTAGTTATTTACTGTATATGATGCCCCTTTCATTTACAGGTGATACTAACAAGGATGACCTGGTCAAGCTAGGTGCAGTCGAACCTGTCTTTCGTTTAGTGCAGCATGAAGATAGGTCTGTAAAGACTCATGCCTGCATGGTCCTGGGACTGCTTTCGTCGAACTCGCAGGCTCGGGCGATGTGCCGTAAACTGAACTGTGTTCCTGTGATCTCTGCTTTACTAAATCCACAAGGTTAAATATTGTACTCTAATTTGACTTGAATAGATTCTGTCCATGTGCATCCATGGTAGAGCTGCAATGCCATCATGCTTCTGCAGAATCAGGAAAATTTGCAGCATTAAGCTAGCGTGAATATGTGAATTAAATTTCATTATATTCATAGATCTATGGTTTTACTAAACCTTCGTTATAAGCCAAAGGCTAATATTGCATTGCTCATATATGTATATATGATACAAGAGTATAATATTAATTATCTTTAGTTAGTATCAGTTGTAATTTTAATGTGTAATCTGCATCATTTTTTTCTTTTTCTTGATTGCAGAGGATGTCTTGGTGCATGAGTTTGCAACTCTGTGTATGATGAATATGGCTAAAGATTACAGTGGAAAGACACAACTTCAGTCAGAAGATGTGCTTCAGCCTTTGGTCACTATGATCGAATCATCAGATCCAGATGTGCAGAAGAATTCTGCAGAATGCATTGCTCTTCTCCTACAAGATTTTGCTGCAATATCACTAGTCAGGTCCGTATCATTATTGATTACAGTGCGTTCCAGCAATGTTTCCCATTATGATTTGAACTTCTAACTGAATATATTATTACTGAGTGGGTAATAGCTGTTATATTTCCTGTCACAGTTTATGACCTTCCTGAATCTCTGCATATGTAGATAGGTTCAGGTGTTTAAGCTTTTGAACTGCCATTGCATGTAATAATGTATCCAAGATGTTTATGATAACTGCAGCATACAGATCAATAGGCAATGTATATTTACAGAGATCTCGGAGCTATTCAACATTTGCTAGCTCTCATCCAGTCAGAATACCCTGTCATACAGGACGTGGCCCTTTTAGCTCTTGTACAAATCACCAACGATTGTAAGTCGCTTTTAAATTAGGCAACCATGTAAATATATAGACATATGGAAATATATGTTATGGAAAACCAATTTAAAAAAAGATTTTTCCATTTATGCATCATTGCAACAATATCAACAACATTTAACATATTTATTTAGTTTAAACTCTACTGGTGGCTCAAAGTAAGTCTTATCTAATATTCAATAAGACCTGCTATTCTATGTACGTATCAAGTTGAGAGCCGCAACGAGCTCAAACAACAAGGAGGCATCGAGAAACTTCTACAGTTTATCCGGAATAACATCAGCAATGAGCTCACATCTCTAGCTTTGCACATACTTGCAAACTGTCTGACTAACATAGAGTGCACAGAGGAACTGACACAGTGCCGAGGTTTCGAGACTCTGCTGCAAGCGGCTAGTGAGAGTACTCTGAATCAGGTGTGCTATTCCTTCTGCTTGCTGCTTTTCCTTCTGCAAATGCAACATACATGTATAAAGGCTCTGGTTATCGACATGCCAGTGGCTGAAGTAACATCAGGCGTGTCATAATCATAGAAATATAGAGAGACACTAGTCTAACTAGTATCCAAGGGCGTAGCCAGGAATTTGGATTGGGGGGGTCCTCGAGCGAGTAACAAGGGGTCTGGTGGTCTGAAATTTTTTTTTGAGTTAAATGTAAAAATAGTGCTTTAAAATCAATTTAGACACTGTAATTGTAATTGTAATTTCTTAACGAGGCCAGGATTAGGCTATAATTTTTTTTGGATTTCGATTTTGATTGGGTGGGGGGTTGATTGGGGGTTCCTAGGGCCCCCCCTGGCTACGCGCTTGCTAGTATCTTATTTCTATGGTCATAATATAGACTTGATTATATTGCCAATATAGAACATAGATAGATGTCGATATTATGCCACTCCTGGTAATATCAGAATTGTTTCGTTTCGTAACGAAATGCTATACTTACCAGCACGCGAACAAAGCTAACTATATCCACATCCAAATAACTATCATATGTCTCTATTACAGGTCAAGCAGCAGGCGGCTGTGGCAATTGGCAGGTTCTTCACTCATCCAGAGCAAAAGAAACAATGCCCGGAGATGAATGTTGAAAAGGCGAGTGTAGTCTTTGCCATTTTTCCCAATGCACCCGCACACAATGCACTAAACAATTGCACATATCAATGTACAAATCGCACGCTACGAATTCACAGTCGTCAACGTTGCATTGGCTTTGCGTATCGCTTTACACCTAGCGTTCTGTCGTAGGTGCTGGTAGGGATGCTCAGTATTGATCACGCTGGACTGCAAGCTGCAGCTGCCGAAACCCTCTCCATAGTCGCGGAGCTTCCGTCCTGCCGAGAAGTAATATGCGACTCTGACGGTAAGTGACTTATTAAGCGGAGAAGAGTAAATGTAAGATGTTAAACAAAATGAACCGAACGAAGATTTCGTGAATGTAAGTCGTTATTGGCACGTTAATTGCCAGGTGTTAATTGCATGTTATTTGCATGTTAATTGCAAGGTGTTCGCCTGGCTGTACATTTACTGGAGAGTGAAGATGCCGTCGTGCGGAAATATGCGCTGTTAGTTCTTGCCACGATGACGCGTGACAGTCATGACATCTCTGCTCAAGTGTCACATGAAGGAGGGATCGAACCGTTGGTAATTACTAATTACTAATATAAAGTTGTCATCGACCCTTTTCTTACGGGTTAATTGCAGAATTAAGCAAGTATAGCCATTTTTAATTAATAGCATGCATATAAAACCCATACGTGATATATGTGTAATTGATTCTTTTGCTCTATGCCTATGGCTGTTTATGGCAGTTGAGCAATTTTATTGTACGTAGTTCATTTCCTTTTTTAATTTAGGTCACACTTCTTGCCGATGGAATTCCAGATGTTATGATAAATGCAGCAGGAGTTTTGACAAACCTCATAACTGACAATAGCCTGCGTGCTGAGATTTTGCAGTCCAGAGCCATCAGCATACTTCTAGAGCCACTGAAATCTGGGTAACGATTCCAGTCGGATTAACTGAAGGCTTACTCCATTAGGAGTTATACCAACTCTAATGTCATTAATGGTCATAATAACACATATATATATATGGTCATGGTCATATATTAGTTTGTGGTTTAATGTTATTTAGGTTAGAGTTAGGGTTAGGGTTAGGATTATCAATCATTAATCATTAATCATTAATCATTAATCATTAATCATTAATGATATCAAAGTTGGGAACACTACCAATGGAGCGTTTTCCTGAATCCAGTGCAGAAAGCCAACCTGTTATTAGGAAAGCTTTTTTTCTCTGAATTTGTTTATTTATCACATTCAATTTATCCACAATTTGAATTCTCCATGTGTATCATGGTTTCCCACCTAGCAAAAATGGAGGAAAGATGTTAAGTAAAAGACCAACTAACGTAATTTTGAAAGGATTAGTATAGTATTTTAGCCATGATTATGTTATAGTAAGGATTTTCTGCACAAATGGTTTTTCGCATTTCATTTTAGAAATCCACAACTGCAGATCCATGCGTCACTGTTAGTTTGTGCTTTGGCGACAGATGGGGAAGCTAGGCTTGAGGTATAGGCCTACTGTGGCCGTAAATAGGCTTCGACTTGATATTGCATCTTTGCATGTTTCTAGCACAGCACTTTGATAAATCAAGCTAGGTTTTTGCCATTTATCAACGATTTGTATGCATAATAATAACAATAATTATGACGATCAATGATGATGATGATGATGATGATGATGATGATGATGATGATGATGATGATGATGATCATGATGATGATGATGATAATAATAATGATGATGTTGATGATGATGATGATGATGATAATAATAATAATAATAATAATAATAATAATAATAACAATAACATCAGCATCACCATCTTTCCCTGTGTTCTGAATGGTATTTGGAAGGTAATCGTCACAGGACTTCTCTGTAACAGTTACAAACATCTGGAGCCGTAGAAGCTCTTGTAGAACTTCTTCGATCTTATAGCGAGGAGGTGCGACGCACTGCATGCTGGGCAGTCGCGATTTGTGCAGCGGACACGAGCACGGCAATTGAATTGATCAAACATGGGTGAGTGTCTCGGTCGTGGTACGTGACCAGTGGTAGTTGTGCTCCATTGTGTAGCCTGTCGATAAGCATAATTAATTTTAGGAGTAGTTTACATAGCAGACCGCCTCGTATGTGGAAGGTCGGGGGTTCAACTCCCCGTCGGGTCATACCAAAGACTTGAAAAATGGTACACGCGGCTTCTCTGCTTATAGAGAAAATAATCTTCAGCAAATAGAGATAGACTAAGAGTGTGGCAAGTTAACTCGCAGTGCTACAGTGGACTAACCCCCTACTGTAGCATTTACTGTGAAAGCAGCTGCGGGGCCTCAGGGTTACAGAAGCGGAGATAGGCACCGCCCTATGCGCCTGTAGGGTCATGATCCGCTATGTGTCCCGGTACTTATGTGTCCCGGTACTCGTATCATAGGCGCGGGAAGGATTTAACTTACATAGCAGTGGTCGCATGTGAATGCAGTCATTATTATTCCATTTGTACTTGTTACGTACTGAGAGAGAGAGAGATCTGGTTATCCACCTTGAGTATGATCTCAAAGTCATTTGGAATATTTATATTCCTAGACATGTTCATGCCAATCATATTGCTCAGGAGAAAGGATGGGTGAGACAGGAAGAAAGACGGAGAAGCAGCGCGAGACACACACAGAGAGAGAGAGAGAAGTAGAGAGAGAGAGAAGAGAGAGAGAGAGAGAGAGAGAGAGAGAGAGAGAAGAGAGTGAGAGAGAGGAGGGTGAGAGAAAGGAGAGGGAGAGGAAGAGACAGGGGCCGGAGAGAGGGTGAGATAAATGTGAAGAAAGTGATTGTGTCACAAAATTTATATGAGTTCAACTTCATACTACAGGGCACTGGAGCTGCTGCAGGAATTATGCTTGTTATTGACAGGAGAAATATAGTTTCGCTGAGGTAGCTCTAGAGACTCTGCTGAACAACAATTGCCTGCAAAATACAGTTTAAAAGGTGGACGGAACTATGGCAATCATAGTTTGCTTCGCACAAACCGTATTCTTGTATTAACTAAT